ACCACAACTGAACTGATTATGTTAAATTATTTTAAAGTCAGAAAGTAGTTGGTCGTGTAATATGTGTCAGAGAATTGCTGCTCGGGTTTCTTAGCTAATTTTAGAGTAAATCCGATATAAAATATATATTTCTTTAGTTATCTGAGTTAATCGTCAATCGGACACCGTGACGAAGGGGACAAAATTCGACAATTTTGAATAAAATACTATTAGTCTGCTACTGTTTTCGATTGAGATAGTTAAAATAATTTATTAGACAATTTCTGAAGTGGTAAAGTAACCCTGACAAAGCTTGAAAAACAAAACATTTGTTATTATGCCTTTTGTAGGTTAGGTGTGACGGAGGGGACATATATTAAATATTTTAACATAAATACTTATGGCGCGGAGCCTTTTGCAATTAAAATAGTCGTGTTTTAGCATGAGCAAACGTCTCGAGTTGTAAAAGAACCTTGCCACATCATTATACTACAAAATATATTCGAGATAAACCGTTTGGACAGCCACCCTTGCCATTTTGGGGGAATTACCCAGAAATAGGTGGCTGGGAGCTCGCTAAAGAACGTTTTCTTTCTCCATAGATACCACTAATGCATTATAGATAGAAAAACCTCCACTTGCAAACGTTTTCAAAAACGAAAAAAAAGTGACCCAATATGCATCTTATTTGTGAAACCACCCATATATATATGACTGGGTGAAATTGACCGCGATAGGTGCGGTTTAAAGGTCTGTCCGCGATGAGGTCACGCGTCGGTCGCGTTGACAGTGCGGCCAGCCAATCGGCGAGCGCCTGCGTCAAAGCCCCACTCCGCCTAACTGGGCCAATGGGCGCACGGGCGAGTGATAGCACAGGTGTAATCTGCGGACGGCTATTTCGGAACAACACCGCCGCCGACGCGACTCCCTCGATTTCAAAATCAATTTGAATAAAATCTATATCTGTTTCGTTAAAAAAAAACTGCAAAACTAAAGGTAGGATTTGGTGCCGATAAGCCACCCAGAAAATGGTTTCTTTGAAACTCCCTATAGGGAGTTTCCTTGTAATTAGCCTTGAATCAAATTGACCTAAAATAAACATAAGGAAAATTATTGCTTTCTTTAAGGAAAAAACTTCCTTAATTTGGAGAAAAGTCTTCAACTTAATGAATTTTTGTCGTTAAACCAAAGAAATTTCATTGGAACAAAAGAAAAATTTCCTTCTTTTTTTTTTCAAGAAAACGATTTTCTGTGGGAGGTGCTACATTTTAGTGCCTTTGCAATATGGTCCGAAAGAGTCGAAACGCACCAAAATTAATCCCGTATTTTTGCGCCAAAGCAGGGATGGTAATTTGATAGTGCGTCTGTAAAGGCGTTAAACCTGCTTTGCACCCGAGCTTGCACCCCTAAAAGGGTGCAAATAGGGCGATTACACACATTTGCTATATGTGAGACACTGTGCACATGAGGTGTGTGACGGACACAGGTATGTGACAGACACTGTGTGCGAACTGGATGCCACGGCTCGCCGGCCTTATTTCTTCCATCGTACTCTGTCAAAGAAAAGCGCTTATAAAGGCTGCTTAGGAAGCCCGTCTGTGTGTCGGTCCCGCCCGTCTGCGTGCGGCCAGCCCGACCAGCCGGCCAGCCGCCTTGGATGAGGCTCTGCAGAGGATTGAAAATCAGGTCGTTTTTCACCATCCTTGTGTGGCTGCTCGCGAGGTCAGAATGATTTCGATTTGCAATTCTCATACCTCGGCGAGCGGCTCAGTGACGCGTACTGTCTGCTTGGATAACTGTTAGATTATAGCGTGTCGGTCTGGCCGGCCGCGCCGCGGCAACTGCCACTCCCACATGGAGACTCTATTGGCTCAGGAAAAAACGTCCTCCACTTCATTGAGCACATAGAGACCCTTCAGCTAACAACTACATATATATACGCCTAAGTTGTTCGGATACGAAACAAAAACGTTTTTAGGACATGCTGTGGAGTTTGAAAGTGAGCGGTTGCGCGCAAGTGGTGGGTTTCTTTTGCGCCGCGCACAGGTGGCTGTGGCGAGGCGAGAATTAAAAGTGCAAACGACACGTATTGTTTTGGCCGAAGGACTCGCCAGACAGCGCGGCCGGCACTTCCTAGACGGCGCGGAGCGGAGGCGAGGGATCTGTCTGTGCAAGTAGTAGTTTTCCCCGCCATCGCAGCACCACGACGTGCACCTGCCGTCTCGACAAACGAGTTGCTCCGAGCGCCGAGCTGTGCGCTGCCGCCGCGAGCAGCCGACAATTGGGCGTGGGCGAGCAGAGAGATAGAGAGAGAGACAAAGAAAAATAGAGAGAGCGCGCGCCTGGTGGCTATTTGACAGACAGCCGCTCCTAGAGGGCTGAGCAAAGCACTCTGCGGCTCTTTCGCTGCCCTTTGGCAGGAGGCTTTGCCAGCTACGCCTTTGGCTGCCGTTCGATGTCCTGCTGGAGATGATGCGTGGCGATGTGTGGCTTGGCGTGGCGCGAAACGCCGTGTAGCGCGGGGCAGCGGGGAG